TGTGTGTGTGTGTGTGTGTGTGTGTGTGTGTGTGTGTGTGTGTGTGTTCCTAAAGACATAAATACAACCTGCTCAATCTGTATAACGCCACCATTTGGTACTGAACAACCAATGGGTGTGTTCTTCTCTAGAGAAGACTCTCTGACTCTCAGTATTCCTCATTTGCCTGTAGTTCTTTGTGTAAGGTTGAGGCCTTGTAAGCTTTTCTTATTGTGCAAAAATAGACATAAAATATGCCATTTTAACTATTTTTAAATGCATAGTTTTAAGGCATTAAGTAGCTTATATTTTGTGCCATGTTATCACCATTCATTTCCAGAACTTTTTCCTCTGAAACTTTTCAAGTGAAACTTCACGCCCTTTAAACACAAATTCCTCATTTCCTTCTACTCTCACCATGGAAATCTACTTTCTGTCTCTATAAATTTGACTTCTCTAGGAATATCATGGAGTATTTGCGGTTCTGTTAAGAGTTTACTTCACACACAAGGCTGATCCATGCTGTAGTATGTATCAGTATTTTCTTGTTTAAGGCTGAATAAGCCCTATTGACTATCTACCACATTTTACTTACCCACTCATGATTTATCAACACTTGCATTGCTTCCACCATTTTGGCTATTGTGAATAATAAATACTTCTATAGAATAATTCTGCCATGAATTAAAATCTTTCTTCAGCTCTCTATTCTCATTTCTTTCAGGTATAGATTCAGAAGTGGAATTATTAGATCATATGGCATTCTATTGCTTAATTTTGGGAGGAATCACCATACAATGTACCATTTTACACTCACACTTACAATTAAAAAGGTTCCAGTTGTGAAGACATCCTTGCTAACCTTTATTTTCTATTGTTTGCCACCTGTAATAGTCATCCTAATGAGTTGAATGGCCCCCCAGGGAGATTTAGCTGGCATAGTTTCTTGTGCTTATTAGTCATCTGTATATCTTCTTTGGTGAAATATCTACTCAAATTATTTGCTATTCCCCTTTCTTTTTTTCTTTACAGTACTGGGGATTAAACCAATGGCCTCATGCATGCTAGGTAAGCGTTCTACTACTGAGCTGTAACCTCTGCCCTCATTTTAATCCTTTCACTTTAAGACAGTTAACCAGTATGGCCTTGAATTCACTATAGCCCAGCAGTCCTTGAGCTTGCTATCTTCTAGTCTCAGTGTCCTGTATATGAGAGGTTACAGGACTATGCCAATAGGCCTAGCCATTTTCTCCTTTTCTAATGGAGTAGATTTTGTTGCATTGTAAGAATTCTTTATGCATGCTAGATACCAATCCTAGTTGCAAATAATTTTCTCCCACTCCATGGACTACTTTCTTATTCTGTTAACATCCTTTCATGATCAAGTTTTTAACTTTCTTTGGTTTGGTTTTTTTGTTTTGTTTTTCATATTCTTTCCACTCTATTTTATCCTAGTTACTATTGTTACTCAGTTTATATATTTTATTTTATATATTACTTGTAGAAAATAAGTTGGTAAGTGTGTTACTTTTCTCATCATTAGGAAATAAAGACTCTGGCTCATAGTTGAGGTGTAGTGAACTATAGCAGGAAAGTCACAGTGGCTGGGGGCTGGGGTAGCAGAAACCTGCGGCACAGACTGTTTACAACCAGCGAACCAGGAAGAAGAATGCTTGGCAAGAACCTGCCTTCAGTGACCCACCAGGCTTCACTTTCTAAAAGATTCTACAATCTCCCAAAACAGTGCCATCAGTTGGGGACCAAATATTCAAACAAATGAGACTGTGGGGGACATCCAAATAACATAAGGTGTAAGCAAAGAGAAAGGGAAATATGTTACTCCATGTTTACCTCCTCTTCATTGACCCATGATTCTGAGGAGCAATACTTGTCAGGTTGAGTCCTGATTCTTTTTTCTTTTCTTTCCTGAGACAGGGTCTCTCTGTGTAGCCCTGGCTGCCCTAGCACTCACTTTATGCTGCTGGGATTAAAGGCGTGCACTACCACTTCAGGTCTTTTTAAATTATTCTTTATTCTTATTTTTTTAGACAGGTTTCTTTATGGAGCTCTGGCTGGCACTTCCTATTTAGGCTGGGTTGGCCACAAACTCACAGAGATCTGTCTGTCTCTGCCTCTAATTATTCTTTCTTAGAGACAAAAAAAAAATTCGACTACTTCAGTATATCAAATGACTGGCTGGTTCTTTCACACCCCCACATCATACCAGAAAAACTGAAACTACTAGGTTCTATTAAAAAAAAGATAAAATTCACTGATCTAATTTTCAGTTTAGTATTTCACAGAATATTTGCTTTGTTCACTCTAAAAAGAACCTTGCCTTAAACATACTGTCAGCATCAAAAAAGTTTAGAAAAAAATTCTTCACTGGGGATACTCTGCCTATTTCTATGATCTATACATATAGCTTTCTGAAAATAAAGTCATTGGCCTTACCTTAATGTACAAACATTTTAACAACCAAACTAACACAATAATTTTTTTTTCAAAAAGTACACACAAACACATCGTGGTATATGAGAACTTCTGTATCTTTTCTAATTAATGTTCAGTGTATCTGTGTATATAATCTTAAATGAAGTTATACCATTTGATAATATTCCTCCAAATAGCCATAGACTATCTAACAAAAACTCCAATACCAGGCACAAGAAATCTTCTTTGGAGTTATTGGTCAGGGGCCTACAAGAGACTTCTAAGACAATATAGGTTTTAGAATGCTGCCCTCATTTGTCTCCTATGGGTTGAAGGTAAATCCGGATTGCTGAAGACACCATGCACTTCAGCCATAAGACCTGGAAGCTAAGCTGGATGTTACCTGAAAGTTGCTTCTCCATGGACAAGCTTTAATAGTACCAGAAGGGGCAATAAAAACGTCCAAGGGAGGGAAACAGCCAACAGTCCTACCTGGCTGCGATGCCTATAAACTATAACAACCACCAGCACAGCAGCATAGCCCTAAGAGTACAATAGGGGCACTCGCATCTTAGTAGTGACCAGCATCTCTCTAAATGAATTTATGGTCCCTCAACAGGAAGAAAACCATGCCTGATACCAGAAATCTAGCTTGTGAGGTCACGGGTCTCAGAGGAGAACCTGCCACTACCATTTTACAAAAACAGTATAACTCCTCACTGCATTCTAAACATCTATCCTTATAACCACAGATAAATGTAATTTTCAACCCTCATCAAACAAACTTTTCCCTGCTACAGAAGAATACCATTATAGAAAAGCACAATTGATTATGACAGAGAAATAAGTGATTGTGGTGGGCTCAGGCAAAAGATGACACAAAGAATTTCGAGCCAGAGAACCAGGAAAGTTGCTGTGAGATTTTATCTCTTAGAAATAGTAGGGATGTTAAAATCGCAAAATAATGCTGGTCTCTAAATAAGACCTGAAGAAGTTTACCAATAGATGCATTAATATAGAAGGGAGAAATCTCATGGTGGCCTGCCCATAGACAAAGAACTACAGGCAACTAAGGAATGCTAAAGAAGAAACAGTCCGCCTCAGGGAGGACTGTTTTTTGTTGTTGTTGTTGTTTTGTTTTGGTTTTTTTGTTTACTGGAGACAGGATTTCTCTATGTAGCCTCGGCGGTCCTGGACTCCCTTTGTAGACCAGGCTGTCCTCGAACTCACAGAGATCTACCTGCCTCTGCCTGCCTGAATGCGGGGATTAAAGGCATGCACCATCATACCTGGCTATGATGTAATATACTAATTTATAAATAAATAAAATAAAATTTTAACTTAAAAAACTTCAAATAACAATAAACATACTATTGCTAGCCAAAGGGAATCAAAATAAAATAATTTCCCCTGTTCTATGATTTGGTATTATTTCAAATAAAAATATTTCAAAATTTGAAAAAACAATCACCTCTATCTTCTCCAATTAATGTTCAGTGCTATTTGTTGATAATACAGTCTACAGACTTCAAAGTTATCTACATAGGACCCATGTATATCTACATCCTTCTATACAGGCTTTATAAAACTCAGAGAATCAAAGGTTAGAAGACAAAACTAGCTTCACCAAAGAATCATTTTACTAAGAAAGTTCCTATTGTTGGTTTTAGACATCCCTTGGTCCCTACCTGTTACAAGGTGTGGCTGCTATACTCTGCCCTCTATCCTGACTTTCCCAGCCCAGGGACAGGGCTTCCTCTCTCCCAGAGGCCCTTCACTATATAATCGGACATTTTGGTTCCTTCCCCCCTCCTCTCTCTCTCCTTTCTTCATCTCTTCTTCCTTCTCCTCCTCTTCTTCCTCTTCCTCCTCCTCTCTCTCTCTCTCTCTCTCTCCGCATGTACTTCTCTCTTTTCTCTCCCCTCCTCTCCCTGACTGTTTCCAATAAACCTGCATTTATTTATATATAACTTCGTCTTGCCATTAGCTCATTCTGTTATTTCAATCACCTACAAGCTTATAGGATATGTTACTGAGAAAATCAGAGCCCCTTCTTATAGTTCTTAGTCTCATTAATAAAATAATTAAGAATGGACTCAAATAGAAACTAAAAAAAAAAAAAAATTATTAGCATTTAAAAGAAAAACCCCAGGGCAGATAAACTGTAAATCTCAGCAGCTGACCAGAGCATGGAGAAGGGGGTTAAAGTCATGTTTGAGATGAGCTGGCATAGAAGTCAGCCACACAGCATAAAGAGTAAGAGCTTTAGAGTAAGAAAGCCCC